CCCGCCGGCCTGCCCCCCCCCCCCCTCCCGTTGTCACGCTGATCCCGGGCTCCGCTGAGCCCGGGACCAGCATAGTGCATAGTGCCTCTGTCACAGGGGGAATGTATATTACATCACTTCCGCATTCTTGTGTCACTCTCCAGCTTCAGATGCTGGAGAGAAGCTGATGAAGCAGATCTCTGCTTCATCAACTTCTTCGGGGGTCCTAGGTGACATTAGGGGTCTTGGAGACCTGTCACATCTTTTGCTTTCACATAGGGGGGTTTCTTACCCCTATGTAAGAAACCCCCCTGCTTTAGGGCATCAGCATACCAAGACATTTGGGACAATTTCATGCTCCAAAATCTGTGGGAAGAGTTTGGGGATGGCCCCTTCCTGTTCCAAAATGACTGCGCACCTGTGCACAAAGCAAGGTCCATAAAGTCAGGGATGAGAGAGTTTGGGGTGGAAGAACTTGACTGGCCTGCACAGAGTCCTGACCTCAACCCGATAGAATACCTTTGGGATGAATTGGAGCAGAGACTGCGGCGCCCGGCCCTCTTGCCCAACATCAGTACCTGACCTCACAAATGTACTTCTGGAAGAATGATCAAACATTACCATAGACACACTCCTAAAGTTGAAGCGGTTATAGCTTGAAAGGGTCGGCCAACTCAATATTGTACCCTATGGACTATATAATAAAAAAAAGTACCATAAATGTAAAAAAAAAAATTCCCTACGTTATGTTATAAAACATTTATTCTTACCCATATTTTTAGTAAAACATAAAAGTCGGGGTCACGTCGGGTAAATATGGAGACATCCGGGGTCTCCAAGACACCTAATGTCACCTAGGAACCCCCAGAGAAGCTGATGAAGCAGAGATCTGGGGTCTCCAAGACCCCTAATGTCACCTAGGAACCCCCAGAGAAGCTGATGAAGCAGAGATCTGCTTCATCAGCTTCTGTAGCTGTAGAGTGACACTAAATGCAGGAAGTGATGTAATATACATCACTTCCTGCATTCGGGGACTGAGAGGAGATCAAAGGGAGTTCGTATACTGAACTCCCTTTGATCTCCTGTCACAGAGCCGTGCCGGTCCCGGCCGCATCAGGCACAGCGGATCTCGGGACCGGCAGTGACAGCTTTGAATGTAAAGCTCCCGGTAGGCCTTGTAATTACAACGGCCGGCCGGGAAGCTGCTCGTCAGGCTCCACTGTCCTCTCGTCACAGACGAGTGGATTTTTCAAGCCCTGATTATAGTTATTAAAAAGCATTCCCTGAGCTCCAGTCCAGTGCCTAGGCAGAGATGATGAGATGGCAATTTACGTAATAATATAATTTCTGAAGTAGATGCTGACCCTGGATCATGAACAAGGATGGTGCAGTCCTTCTGGAGGGACAAGCAGATGAAGGCATTGTTGGAGGGAGTAAATACCTGAAAGTGTTAAGCTGGCCATACACTGTTGAAAATTCATGTTAAATCGCAGAATTTCTTATAATGGGTGGCCTGCTGGCACCAAAAGACTCCACAAACTTCAACTGGAAGATCAGACGAACCGGGTGGAGAACTGTCAGCCCCACAGTGACTGTAGCCAATCAGCTTGAGTCACTCTTGGGGTATTCTGACAGCTGAAAGTGTCGGCTGTCACAGTACTACAGCCCTACACAAACTTTTTATTTTCTTGTGGGCCCTGCGACATCATACTGGGCTTTTCTCTTTCTTCCAGCAACGGTGGTTGTTGGGCATTCCTTCAGACAGATGGTTAGCCCACATGTAAACATTGGGCTGGACTGTAGAAGATGCCCAACCCTGAGCAAAGAAGGAAGTCAGTGACAGCACTGGACCATGGAGAAAGTTGGGGACTGAGCTGGACTGAGGAGGAAGTGGAAGGCCGTGCTGGTGCATTTTGGAAGTAAAAGGCAGTGCTGGAGTGAAGGAGAAGGTCGAGGAATGTCGGGGAAGGTGCCGGAACGAGAAGGAAATCGGGGAAGGCGCTGGAGCGTTGAGGAAGTCGAGGAATGCACTGAAGCGTGAAGAAAGTCGGGGAAGGTGCTGGAGCGTGGAGGAAGGCGCTGGAGCGAGAAGGAAGTCGGGGAAGGCACTGGAGCGAGAAGGAAGTCGGGGAAGGCACTGGAGCGAGAATGAAGTCCGGGAAGGCACTGGAGCGAGAAGGAAGTCGGGGAAGGCACTGGCGCGTGGAGAAGTAAACATTGGTGTTAATTTAAAAAAAACATTCCTGGAGATCCACTTGAACTTGATGCTAGGTGCACTTTAATGGCCGATGTGCTGTGAGTACATGTGATTGTGCTGTGTAGACTGGTGTCATCTACTGGGTGGAAGCAGACACCAGTCACTGGCAGGAACACAGCAATGTCAGGTAACCTGAGCCGTACTGGGAGTGCTGTGTACACAAACACTCATCGTTACACATCCTATTATTTTCTCTACAAACAGCACCGGACTATAGGGACCGAGACTCCATGACCGTCTCCCCAGTGCCAGCAAGCACCTGCGATCCCATTACACCGTCACACAGGCAGTGTACAGGTGTCACTTGTTGCACTCTCTGAAACTCTGCACAGCTCCTGAAAAGAAGTGCAAGATGAGTATTCGCTGCTGCAAAGAACCAGAAGGGCCCCCGGACAGAAGTGTGACCCCACTAATATGCACTAGATGACAACCGAACACTTCTTCTTCACGCCCTGCGCACACCTTTTAGAAAGTCTTACCTTGTGGGCGGAGGGGAGGTCGCTAGCACGAAGTGTCCTGAGAGCAAGAAGAGGATACCCGGGAAGACTTCACAACGTTGCTAGAACATGATTAAACTTCTGTGATCCGACACTGCAGCCGTGATCCGGACGGGCGGCGCCATGATCTTCTCTAGTGACTGGAGAATACTTCCGGGCTTAGCCCCGGTGAGCGCCTCTCTGTTGCCGCCTGCTGGCAGGACATGGTATGTACACCCGGGGTCCAGTGCACGGGAGACCCTGGAGTGACGTAACTCACTTCTCCTGTTCTAGTTTGCGTAACATTAACTAGTGGTCACACTCTGGAGAAAGTCTGCACTGACCTAGACCATTTATGTTCTTCCTTTGAATAGCTGTTTATTGAATTTGCAAGGGTTCATTCATGCTCTTCATTGTGCAGTCATTTACATTTTGTACTTTTTAACATAGGACACTTGCCATGAGAAAAATATATTGATGGTTTCCATTACTGAGCTGACTCTGAAAATGATGGGCAGTTTTTGGGGTCTAAGCCGCTGTTCGCACTTGAGTATGAGCGTCTTCAGGTGATTTTGAAGCATTTTTTATTTTTCAGGCACTTCCAAGCTTGCATTTTAGCCAATAGCAAAATAACTTCTGGGGAGGGCGGGGGCGTGGTGGTGCATTGAACTCAATGGAACCGTAGCCACGCCCCCCTGGCCGCAGTGCGATCGCCCGCACCAGAACGCGTGGCACATCAATACCTGGGTTCCGTTCCAGTGCAGTCATAAAAAATGCTGCATGAACTATGTTTTTCTGATCGCACCGGACTGGAACACAGGCATTGACTTCAATGCACCGCCGCGCCCTGTCCCTCCCCAAACGCAGTGAGCTGGCCGGGATGCGATCCAGTGCGCTCTGGCACCGAATCGGGCCGGAACGCACTGGGGCTGGTGTGAACTAGCCCTGAGCGCAACCCTATTGAGAACTTGTCGGCTTTTCTTAAACGGGAGATTCACGGTGAGTAGGGACAGGGCGTGGCGGTGCATTGAATTCAATGGCACCGCTTCCACGCCCCCACCCACAGTGCGATCGGACGCGTGGCAAAACTTTGCTAGCGTTCCGTTCCACTGCAAACGCAAAAAATAGAGCAAGCCCTATTTTTTGCATTTGCAGTGGAACGGAACGCTGGAAAAGTTTTGCCACGCGTCAGATCGCACTGCGGGTGGAAGCGGTGCCATTGAATTCAATGCACCGCCACGCCCCCTCCCGCCCCAGAACGTGGGGGGGAAGTTTCTTAGCGATCGCGGTGCGTTCCAGCAGCTATCGCTCTGCAACGCACACGCTTTCGGTGTGAACAAGCCCTCTAGCAAAACAGTACACCTCTCTGAACAGTGTCTGGGAGGCTATGGTTGCTGCTTCACAAAAAACAGATGAAGAAACTGACAGACTCCATGGATGGAAGGCTGATTACTGTTATGGAAAAGAAGGGGGGGGGCTATACTGGTCACTGATTTTATTTGTGAAAATGTCAGAAATGTTTATTTGAGTTGTTTGTTTATTGTTCTCACTTAAAGGCCCCATTCACACTCGAATCGGCCTGCACGTACAGCTCCGTGCTGCGTGCGGGGCCGTACCAAGAGTAGTACCGTCCTTCTCTATGGGGCTACGTGGCCGTACGCCCCCCTACGCTCACCTCATTTGCAGGTCCGTAGGGGTGCGGGTGATCGTATTCATACGCCGCTGGAATGGATCCTGTATGCGTCCCACCCAGAAAACCCGCACCCCTACAGAGAGCTGTACGTGCAGGCCGATTCGTGTGTGAATGGGGCCTAACAGATGAAAATAAACAAGTGAGGTGGGAACATTTTATGTTTTCCATTTAGTTGCATAATAATCCTGCACACGAATAGTTGCCCAATAATTGTGCGCACATAGATATTCTGCTAAGGAAGTCAAGACCTCACTTTTACTTTTTTAAATACTCAGGATTGAGGTTTATTAACATTTTGGATTGACCGAGAGCACTGGAGGTGTTCAATAATGAAAGGAATCCTCAAAAATACAACTTGCCTAATAATTGAGCACACTTTGTAAAGGGCGGACCCTAGTCCCCTAAAATTATATATGTTCAGGCACCGTATACTTACAGTATCTGTGCGCTACCATTCTCAGATATGTAACATTGAAACCTGAAAATGCATAGTACCTCACTGTTTCTGAAGGGAATCACCTGCCTAAATAAATTAGTTATGAATTAGTTGATGTCATTATGGTGATAATCATGCTTTGTGTCTTCTAAGAAGTGTGGAAGAGTTAAAATTCCTGTAAGGTGTGATTTTTCTCTGTGACCCCATTGGTAAGATTTTTTTCCTCACAGGAAGACACAGACATCAATAAAAACATTGTCATAAATTGTAACCCTTCCTCGCTCTACACAAAGTTGTTTTTTCCCTGTGTCTCCCTTAGAGAGAATTCACAGACCTACAAACTTCGTGTGGCCATCAGATTGGCACAACAACAGTGCGTAGAGAGCTTCATGGAATGGGTTTCCATTGCCGAGCAGCTGCATCCAAGCCTTACATCACCAAGTGCAATGCAAAGCGTCAGATGCAGTGGTGTAAAGCACGTCGCCACTGGACTCTAGAGAAGTGGAGACGTTTCTCTGGAGTGACCAATCACACTTCTCTGTCTGTCAATCCGGTGGAAGTGTCTGGGTTTGGCGGTTGCCAGGAGAACGGTACTTGCCTGACTGCATTGTGCCAAGTGTAAAGTTTGGTGGAGGGGGGATTATGGTGTGGGGTTATTTTTCAGGGGTTGGGCTTGGCCCCTTACTTCCAGTGAAGAGAACTCTTAAGGCATCAGCATACCAAGACATTTTGGACAATTTCATGCTTCCAACTTTGTGTGAACAGTTTGGGGATGGCCCCTTCCTATTCCAACATGACTGCGCACCAGTGCACAAAGCAAGGTCCATAAAGACATGGATGAACGAGTTTAGGGTCCTGACATGGATGAGCGAGTTTAGTAGAGTCCTGACCCCAACCCGATAGAACACCTTTAGGATGAATTAGAGCAGAGACTGCGGCCAGGCCTTCTCGTCCAACATCAGTACCTGACCTCACAAATGCGATTCTGGAAGAATAGGCAAACATTCCCATAGACACACTCCTAAACCTTGTGGACATTAAACTGATGAGCGTTAAAAGCTTTTAATGCGTCGCCTATGGCCAATTTTGGGTAATTTAGTTTTTTTGAGGTTTCGCGCGCGTGCGCAATTTTAAGTCTTGACATGTTTAGTGTCTCTTTACCCGTCTAGACCCCGTCTTTTATATTTTACCAAAAAATTGGGAAATTATAAATGTTTTAGAATTTAATATAGGGGAAACTGTTTTTTTTTTTTAAAAATCTGTAATTTTTCCTTCATATATAAAAAAATAAAAACCCCAGTGGTGAATAAATACCACCAAAAGAAAGCTCTAACTGTCCCCAAAAAAGGGTATAAAATTCATTTCAGTACAGCGCTGCATGACGGAATAAATGTCAGTTAAAGTACCGCAGCGCTGAATACTGAAAAATGGCCTGGATGGGAAGGGGGTTTAACACCGCAGATGTCAACTGGTTAAAGTTCATGTGCGTGTAAAGGCAGGCGTCCCAATACTTTTGGCAATATAGTGTATATGTGTAAAGAGGACTGCACATGGACTGTAAAGTGTTTATTCACACAAGAGTTCACTTATTTAAATGTTGTAGTCACTGATAGATTAATCACGACAAAATATAACAAAAGTTTTCATTTACAAATATTGTTTAAGTTATTAAGTGTTAGAAGTGCAGTGCAATATATTTAATTTATATATAGCAATAGGGATTAAGCATTATATTAGCACGGTTGATTTTGTTTACCGTATTTTGCGGTCTATAAGACGCTCCGGACGATAGGACGCATGGCTTCTGTGACAGAAATTCTATGACAGAAATTCTGTCACAGAAGCTGCAGTTAGTGACTGCTGAGACAGGTGGCGCTGTCTCAGTAATCACACAGAGCAGACGAAGAACGTCGGTCTTCGTCTGCTCAATGGGCTCTATGGTGAGCTCCTATGGGGGATCGTGACGGGTCACAGTCCCGCAGAGGAACGGGAGACCCAGAAAACCTCGGCGGGGGGCGGACACTATCGCCGATGCCGCCGATGCTCGATTTAATACAAGGGATCTACTTAGATCACTTGTATTAAACGAACAGCGGCTCCCACTGTACATTCAGCTCTGCTTGTCAGGAGCAGGGCTGAATGTACAAAAAGAAACTACTCGCCCGGCGCCCGAAACTGCATGTCCCGGGTGTCGGGCGATAGGTATTCGCTCCATAAGACGCAGGCACATTTCCCCCCTCTTTTTGGGGTAAAAAAAGGGCGTCTTATGGAGTGAAAAATACGGTAATTATTCTAGTACACTGCCTGGCCAAAAAAAAGTCCCTGCCTGTATTTAGCTAAGCAGATAGGTAAGTCTAGATTCAGCAGTGTCATGTCTCCCAAAAATGAGGTCCGCTGTCTACCTGAATATACTGAATGACGAGGTTTTTCCATCAATAGATTTTGTCTTCCCTGATGGCACGGGCATATTCCAAGATGACAATGCCAGGATTCATCTGGCTCAAATTGTGGAAGGGTTCAGGGAGCATGAGACATCATTTTAACACGTGGATTGGCCACCACAGAGTCCGGACTTTAACCCCATTGAGAATCTTTGGGAAGTGCTGGAGAAGACTTTACACAGTGGTCCAACTCTCCCATCATCACTGCATGGTGGTGAGTTCCAGTGAGCACCTCTCTGTTGCCACCTGCTGGTAACACATGGTATGTACACCTGGGGTCCAGTGCAAGGAAGACCCTGGAGTGATGTCACTCCCTTCTGCTGAAGAAGACTTTACGCAGTGGTCCAACTCTCCCATCATCACTACAAGATCTTTGTGAAAAATGAATGCAACTCTGGATGGAAATATATGTTGTGACCTTACATGAGCTTATTGAAATGATGCCACAGCCAATGCGTGTTGTAATCAAAGCTAAAGGCAGTCCACAGATACAGTATATTAGAGTGTGTGACTTTTTTTTTTGGCCAGTCATTGTATTTGTTTTAATAATTTTAGTTCAGCAGTAATAGAAGATGGGT